TGCTCCTCTGAGTTGCTTAAGAAAGATGCTCCTTTTGTTTGGACCTTCCGTCAAGAAAGAGCATTCCAAACTCTAAAAGAAAAGCTAACATCTGCTCCAATTTTGAAATTTCCAGATTTTTCTAAGCCTTTCTATCTGACAACTGATGCTAGTAATATTGGCATAGGTGCTGTACTAGCTCAGAAGACTGATGGCAAGTACAACGCAGTTGCATTTGCTAGCCGAGTCCTTACGAAGGCTGAACGTAATTATACAGTAACTGAGCAAGACATTATTTATCAGTACTCTGTTCATGTCTTGACAGACCATGCTCCACTGATACCTTTATTCCAGAACAAACAACCTACTGGAAGGTTAGCCAGATGGACCTTGACTATCCAAGAGTTCAATCCCACCTTTGAACACTTGCCTGGCAAGTCAAATGTAGTTGCAGATGCCTTATCATGACATATTAGTATAGTAACTGCAGATCCTCCATTTACTGCCGAAGATGTAAAGAATGCTCAACGAACAGTTCCCATGTGGTCTGGTGTGATTCGATTCCTGCTCCAGGAAGATCTTATTCTGACTGTGAAGCCACCAGCACCCATCAGTGACTTTGTCATGAACCAAGAATTACTGTATCGAACAGCCGAGTTGGGTACTCCTAGCAGAAGAGTATACCAGTTAGTAATTCCACAATCACTAGTGAATGTAGCCTTACAGCTAGTTCACGATGTACCAGGTGTTGCGCACCCTGGTATGGATAGTTCAGTAAAACAAGCCAGATTGAAATACTTTTGGCCTCGTATGGCAACTGATATTTCTGAGTATGTTAAGAAATGTAGTGTCTGCATGCAACATAAAGGTAATGCTAATGGTCCTAATCCAATCCAAGTGTATCCAACTACTAGCGAACCATGGGAAAGAGTTGCACTAGATCTGTTAACTAATTTCCAATGTTCCCTCCAGGGCAACAAACATCTGTGTGTTATGGTAGACCATTTCACCAGATATTGCGAGTTCCTATTGCAGATAAGACTGCCGAGACAGTAGCTAAAGCGTTTAAAGAACACATCTGCAGGCATACCACCCCTAAGTCCCTAGTAACAGATAATGGAGGTGAATTCTGTAATGAGATTCTTGAAAATTTGTGTACCTTGTATAAGATCTCTAAATCCACCATTGTTCCTCATCATCCTGCCAGCAATGGGTTAGCGGAACGAACCAATAAGAAAGTACTTGATGTCTTGAGAGCCACTATCAATCCCAACAGTGAAACTTGGGATGAAGTTATACCTGATGTGCAGTGTGCTATAAATTCTGCTTACAATGTTTCTATAGATGACACTCCACATTATGCATTGTATGGTGTAGATAAACGTTTGCCTTATGAGTTGTTATATTCTAACCCGAAACCAAATTACAACCCTGATGATTTCATAGCAACTCGTACCAGCCTAGCTCAAAGCGTCTTTAGAAGAATCCGTGAAACACTTCATAAATCAACAGCAGAATTTACAAGAGTCGCAAACACTCGAGCAAAGCCATCCAAAATCAAAGGTTCGAGAGTTATGCTGACTAACTTTAACAAAACGTCTGCAATGCCTAAGCTTGATCAAAAGTTTGTTGGTCCTTATCGAGTAGTTGAACATATCACTGGCAATAAATATAAGGTTAGAGAAATTAGTACTGGTCAGTATAAAGAATCCCATTTAGATCATATGAAGTTAGTATGTGATGATAATGATGTTCCAACCCAGACTAATGTGACAGACTCTGACAACCCTCCTGATCCTGTACTCTCTACCTCTGATACTCAGTCAGACGATTAACCTGTACGTACACGACAGGTATTGAGAAATCCTCAAGTATCATTTGTAACTACTAATTTAGATTTGCCTCAAATACAGCATGAGTTAGCCAGTGCAACAGAGTTTGATCCTCCCAGAGATGACACCCATTCTGCATATGTCAATCTCACCCTAGCAGAGTTGGGGTTAAATGTAAATAACCTGTATAGATGAATAATTACAGTATCAACTTATCAGTATTCAAGAATTTTTTTTTTGTGTTCACGTTCTCTCCGAATTCTGAGAGTTAACAGTCTAGATTTGAGTGCACCGAATCTGCCTTTCTGTTAAACACTTCTTTCTTTGTATATATTTCTTCCTCAGAATCCGTAGATCACATGAATACAGATCGATCGATCAAATTTATTTTTATCACTTCTATTGTGTAATCCCAATGTTGAGTCTCATTTGATGAGTTGTGCTATATTATACCTTATAATTCATTACAGTTTCATTACAGTAAGTTTCATTATAGCCAATTACGTAAGCTTCCATTCCAATATTCTCCTTATGTTATAATGTTCAATTGTTGTGTACTTTGACATTGTATAGAATCAGCCCAAGCCATACACCTGCCGTCTCTAGTTTGTATTAGCTGTATGTCGGGAAGACATACGTTAACGTCTCCGAGCTCTCAGTAGTACCAGTTACCAGTAACCAGTTACCAGTAGATGACTCACTACCAACCGTCTGTGTGAATCACTGACTGTTATTCACGTTGCTGCTGACCATAGCATGCTTTTGAATGCCGTTCACCCACTAGGCACGGGTGGGTCAGTCTGAGGTAGGGAGCAGAAAGAGGTAGGGTGGCTGATGGCACTTCCCATACTTCTGTTATAATTATACATACTAACCAGCCTACGTGAGTGTTTTTACTCCATCCACGTTATCGAACCCACATGACAATGCCAGTATGTGTGTATATGTGTTTATGTGTACGTACTTGCCTGGAGTATACCTGGAGAGGGTTTTGGGGGTCAACGTCCCCGCAGCCCGGTCTATTATGTATGATGGGAGGCAGTTGAACAGTCTTGGGGCCCCTGACACTTATTGTGTTCTCTCAGTGTACCCGTGGTGCTCCTGTGTTTCATTGGGGGAATACTGCATCTCTTGTCGAGTCTTTTGCTTTCGTAGGGAGTGATTTTCGTGTCAAGTTTGGTACTAATCCCTCTAGGATTTTCCAAATGTATATTATCATGTATCATTCTCGCCTGCGTTACAGGGAATACAAATCAAGGGACTTAAACTTACCAAGATATATTTACATGGATCGAGTCTCGGCTTTCGACCACACCTGTTATCTTTCAGTAAACATTTATCAGATCCTGTCCTTACCATGCCTACTCATGTTATATTTAAATGGGAAGGAACATAGTGAAGTGATCAGGTGAAGCCACTGGTTTAGAAAATGGAGTAACAAGTCTTATGCTCGATAAATCGATAGAATTTTAGTAACTTTACTTTAGCAAGGCAAAAGCATAAACTATGTTATTCATTATAAATTCATAAATTATTACAGTTAATTAATGTATAATGTCATTGTACTGTTACTTCATTTGCTTTGAGGTCCTCAAACTTTCGTATTTATTAACCTTATTTTTCAACCCTGTGTCTTTATTGACCCTTTGGTCAATAAAGACACAGGGTGTCTTTATTGACACCGTGTCAATAAATTATTTATAATTCTTATTGGTTCTTTATTCAACCCGAGGCGTTTTTATTGACCATGTCATCGGCCATAGGTGTGTCTACAGATCCTTTGGTCATACTTAGGTGACTTTGCTGATCCTTGATCCTTTCGTCACTCTTTGGTGTCTTTACTGATCCTGATATCTGCTGTGTGTCTTTATTGACCTTGTGGTCAACCTTCTGTGTTTATTGAACATTTAGCCAAGTTTATGTATCCAGTTGTGTAAGAATACCGGGTACAGAGCAGTCAGTCCATACTCTAGCATGTGTACGGACACCTTCACTGACTCACCCAGAAAATGTACGAATTTCTTAGTATGAGAGATTCTTATTACTGCTAAAAAGGCTCACTACGTCTCGATCTCATTTAGTGAACGTTCTGGAATTCACCACAAGTGAACAAACTGTAGTGTAGTTCTTGTTGCTGTCTCTGAATGCTTGTCGCTGTGTCTGCTCGTTGCTGTCTCTCCTTGTTACCGTCTATGCTTGTTGCTGTCTCTGCTTGTTAAGATAAGATTTCGTTCGGATTTTTAACCCCGGAAGGTTAGCCACCCAGGATAACCAAGACAGTCACTGCGTCATCGAGGACTAACTTATTTCCATTGGGGTCCTCAATCTTGTCCCCCAGGATGCGACCCACACCAGTCGACTAACACCCAGTACCTATTTGCTGCTAGGTGAACAGGACAACAGGTGTAAGGAAAAGTGTCGAAATGATTCCACCCGCCGGGAATCGAACCCGGGCCCTCCGTGTGTGAAGCGGGAGCTTTAGCCACAGAGACAGCTTGTTGCTGTCTCTGTTTACTTGTTGCTGTGTCTGTTTACAGAAGTCTATTCATCACTACTTATTGACTGTTGCTTTAATTTCACATTCTGCTCAACAGCTGGGGCTTCCAACATAGAAATCTGTTCTTTAATTTCTTTGACAGCCAAAAAACACAAGAATTATATTATTCCTTCAAGTAATTGTTTGGTATAATGTCACGCTTTTAAATTTTCCCGTTCTAGCGACTACGTATTCAGCTGAGATCATATCTGATGCTTCCAAATGTGTAGTGATCATGAAATTTTCTATTAACCCTTCACATCGTTATTTTCCATCAGTTTTATTAAAAGAGCATAGGAATGATCGAAAAAGCATTTATATTTGTCCAACCCACCACCAAATTAGATAACTTGCAGTAGGACGCTGATATACCGCTCATTAAACAACCTAAGGGACCAGGGTTCGATTTCATCGGGGGTCGTGAAACATGGACAAACCCCCTTGCATTTTGTTGCCTTTGTTTTCCCAGAAGCAAAAAGGTACCTAGGTATTAGTCAGCTGTTTGGAGTCACACAAAGATGGTAGAGAGGACTCTGCTTTGATACGAGCAGAAATAGAATACTAATTCTGAGGTTGTACTTTAAACTGTGCAAAAAATCTTAAGAGGTAAATGCTGAATATTATGAAATTAATAAGTGAAGGAAGGTACGTGCCATCAAGATCCTTTCTAAACGTGACGGTGGTGCCAGCGAGAGTGGCAAGTGTGCGCTGCTGCAGGAGACCTTCAGAGTACCAGGCTCCCCTAATAGAGTGCCTGGCCAGTAGATCCCGTCTCAGTCCCCGGTTCATGAGCAGTCCAGGCCATGAATAACCCTTGGACGTGATAGCGGAGTCCGGCGGTGCCAGCAGAGTGTACGTTCCTGTGTAAGACATGGTGTAGGAACATTAAGCCAGCAGACAAAAGTGGAGTGGAGTGACTGCATAAGAAAGTGAGATAGATTAATGACTGGAAAAGTTCGAGTCAGAAGGACATGATCAGTTCGATGATCATGTCAGGTAGTGAGATATAGATGATTTCAATTCTAGGCAGGTCAAGATATGGACAGATTTAAAACTCTGTCACCACCATTATGAGACTAGCAGTACATACAGGGTATATATCGGTATTGTGCCTTTTTTCATTATTTAGGTGAGTTTGGTCTATTAGGCAAGTTCGTTTTCTATCAAATAACCAGAATGAAAATTTGTATGAGCCATAACTCTGCCAAATTCAATCTGAGCATAAATAAATAAATAAATAAATAATTATAATGTCCTGCCGAATAGGTAAAACTGGCCAATTAGCAAGAACTCATTTAAAATTAAGTCCTTTCTAAAATTTTCTCTGATACGTTTAAAAATATATTTTTCCATTTATGTTAATGTGAAAATGAATTTTGTACCAGGAGAACCTTAGAAAAGTTACCTAACCTTATTATAACAAGCACAATTTAATTTAGCATAATCCAATTAAATTATATTATAGATAAGTTTACAATAATTCATTAATAAACAAACACAATGAAATATTTTTTTTCGTTAGGTTCAGAATGACTTTTGTGAAATTATATTATACACAAATTTTCGCTTGCCCTATCCGGCAAGAAATGCGTTGTTATTTAAGCCAAAATCGCAAGTTTTACTTTATGCATATATATATATATATATATATAAAATATATATATATATATATATTTATATATATATATATATATATATATATATATATTATATATATATATTAACCTGAATATTTCTTGGGTCAATACCCCCGCAGTCGGTCCAGACAAGACCTATTGCTGGATCAAGGCTTCATGAATTTAAGCTGTTACTACTGGCTGCACACAGTCCAACATACTAACCACAGCAGACTCATCAGAAACTGACTAAGAATGTATCCAGTTCCCTTCTGAACATTGCCAATTAGTCTACTGGTAATCCTCCGTATGTATGATGGGATCTGTTGGACAGTCTTGGCACCTTCTCAGTGTACTTATGGTAGCCCTGCATGTTTTTTTCATTTATTTATTTTGCACCGACGTAGGGTCATGATGTTGAGTTATGCTGCTGAGAACATACCGGTAATAAAACTTATGTTTAAGATTCCATATGCATAACATTGATTATAATACCCTAACGGTGCCCTTTTTCCGGCCACACATGATGCTTGTCAGTATAATTAAACATTATTATTACTATACTCAAGGGGAGGTACTAAGCCCGTAAAGATCATTTAGCGTCTTGACAATGGGAGGTAATTATTTTGATCCATGAAAAGGAAGGGGTAACGATTCCTTGAATCAAGAGACCTACATCGGTATCAGAGCACACCCCTTCCCTTTTGAATGGAGTGGAGGATGGAGAAAAAACACCAGTACTTGCCTGACTGGACGAGGTCACTTGCGCTGAGCAGTGTGTTCACCCTAGAGTAGGAGTGTCCGCTTCCCACCAATACCGCCTGAATCTCCCCAACCGGCACCTCCAACACAGAGTCGACCACCTGAAGGCAGTGACACCAGGATTAGAGTTGTTACAGGAAGATAAGTGGGTGGGGAAGGTGTATTGAGTGAATAAGATGGTTACGTGCGTCATGGATGGGTGGGGGGGAGAGTTTGGATGTTGTGGGAAAAAGGGAGGTGATTAAATGGGTTATTGTGATGAGTGGGTAAAAGAGAAAGGTACTCAAGTACATAAGAGCATAAGGACATAAGGAATACTGAAGCAGGCCAACTGGCCCATGAAGTGGTTGATAAGTGAAATTACTTAATGAAAAAAAATCATATGAAATTATCTTCTTTCTACAAATGGGGTGGAAAAAACTAGTCTGCGTCAGGAGACACTTTCTTATTTCCTAACGAAAGCATCACAACCGAATTTCACTGTAACTGAAATCCAACATATATCTCAAACACTTATTATGGCAAAAAAAAAATATTTATTCCAAATTACCCTTTTAAACCATACATGTAAAAAATAGATGTACGACAGCTTTTAAATAATTGTTTGGTATAATTATTGACCTAATTGTCATTTCCCAAGAACATTTTATTTTATTGGCACCGAGAGTAAACAATTTTTAATACCTGTAGCTTACAATGGGACGACTCTATCAACTATGGAACGTTTAAAGGTTCGCTAAACTGCGAAAATTTAAAACGCAATAAAACCGCGAGGTTTTAGTGCATCTCAGTTTTCTTTTTTGCTGCTGTATTTTAAAATTCACTAGTCCTCAATATTGATTAAATCCATAGTCATAAATATTTAATTACGTAGGAATATTCAGAATTAGCTTCACCAATACTAACAGAAGATTCGTTGATGAAATCAATCACTAAAGGATTCGCAAGAAATTCAGAACGTGGTTTTAACTTTTTTAGTTTCTCAAAATTGTTTTCAAAAATAATTAAAGAGTTTTTAAGTTTCGTTCGTATTGTTCCAATTTACCGTCTTTCAACATCAGGAAAAGCAGTTATTCAAAATTTATGATTGAGAAAGTGGTCAAATTTCTATGTTGTCAGATGTCTTTGAAAAAACTTTATTTTATTCTGAAAATTGATTGGGTAATTTCTGTAATAACTTTGTTCCTTCCTTGAAGTGCTATATTTAAAGATTGGATTTGTTGCATTACAACTGTTAAGAACATTAGATCCTGTAACTATTCGTGTTCTAGTTGTGGGTATTTCTTTTTCTTTTCTTTCATGAAAGCAATGATTGGTTCAGAAAGAGCAACAAACTCAATAAAAATATTTGTAGTTGATAGCCATCTTACAATACAGTAGAATAAAAGGGCACTTGGCTTTTCTTCAAGCTCCACCACCTCAATAACATTTCTAAATTCACGGTTTCTTTTTTTTTTTTTTGCACTTGTTCGAATGAAATTCACAATTTCTAAAACGCAATTCATGACATTCTTGAGCTTGAAGTGTTTACGTACTAAATGCTGAAGGTTGATGATACACTGGATAAAGCGGCATTCAGGATAGTTGAGATCATGTGTCAATTGCCCAACTAGGCTAGTACTTTGATCTACCACAGTTGGTGCTCCGACCCCTCAAGGAAGGTTCCTTGATGCTGGTGAGGGGATCTTGATTGAGGGAATTGGATCTATGCTCCACTTCCCTGAATTACGCCTGAATACCTTCCACATCACCCCCCTCAACATGCGCTGTATAATTCAACGAGTTTAGCGCTTCCCCTTGATTATAATAATGGTGCTCCGACTGTTGCAATACCAACAAGTTTATGTAATGGTAGTTGAGAATTTAATAAATCTTTGTTAAGTGCATTTTTTGATACCAATACCTTTCGTGGTTTCCTTTAAGCATATCAGGTCTTAAAATTCTTCTTGTACATTTCCATCGTTTGTAACATAGTGAACAAATATAGCTAGCTGAGGGATATCTTGAATGTCTGTAGATTCATTCAGAGCTACGCTGAAAGCAACGCAGCTTTTCAGATCACTCTGCAGTGAACATATGATTGTAGAACTAATATCAGAAATGTGTCTCTCAGTCGTCCGGCGGCAGATAGGAATTTGTTTTATTGCTCGTTTAAATTTTGAGTTATCTGGAGCGAGAACTGCAATCACATCGCTAATATTCTTGTTTACATATTCTCCATGAATGTAAGGTCAGGGAGGTCAGTAGCCAAATGTAAGGTCAGGGAGGTCAGTAGCCAAATGTAAGGTCAGGGAGGTCAGTAGCCAAATGTAAGGTCAGGGAGGTCAGTAGCCAAATGTAAGGTCAGGGAGGTCAGTAGCCAAATGTAAGGTCAGGGAGGTCAGTAGCCAAATGTAAGGTCAGGGAGGTCAGTAGCCAAATCACTTTGCTTACAGAGGAAAAATAGGCTATTTTGCTAAGTGACTAAATTGGATTTCAAAAAAAAAAAATCTTATTTTTTCGCAGTTCTGATCCAGGAGTAAATTCAGATGCAAATTTAATATGGTTACATTCATGGTGACGCTTTAAATTACTGACTTTAAAGTGGCTGATGGTTGTAAGACAGATAAGGCACACTGCCTTTTCACCCTTAACAGTAAAAGCAAAATCGTCATCCCATTGTTGGTTTAATACTTTTTTCTTTGTATTTCCGTTTTATACTCTTCTGTTGCTGGGTCATTTTTAACAAGAGTTTTATAGCTTTAACTAAAATCAATCTTAAGTATTTATTAATCAGAAAAGTGCTTATCTGCACTGCACTAGTTATGTTCCACTACCGTCCCAAGAGCGTAACCTGTGTGCAGTGCATGGAGAGTGTGCAGAGTGCATCATCCGTACTTGTTTAAAACATGTTTTGATTATGTTAAGCGAGTTTAAACAGCAGTCTGGGCACATAATGCATATGATATTCGTAAAAATTATGTGAATTACCCGTATGTGTATATATATATATATATTATATATATAAAATATATATATATATATATATATATATAATATATATATATATATATATATATAATAATGCAATAAGATCACAGTAAACGGGTGATTTTAGAATATGCAAAACACCACTGTGAAGGAATAGAGAAATTCCAAGCGCTTTCGTGACTACTCACATTATCAAGGAACAAAGAAAGTAATACATCAAAGGAAGGCAATAAAAGGGTTTAGACCACACCTCACAGTCAACCCCCACAAAAAAAGAAACACTGACGCGGGACATACAGGACTCA